TTTTTTAGAGAAGGCAAGAGAAATGCATGAACTGGAAATTCACGATATCGTATGCCAAGATTTGCATTGTCACGCGTCCTGGAGATTGAACGCCGCTTGCCCCTTCATCTTACGGGCGCGCGCCCCAACAAGGTGGAGCTGACGTACAACATGGAATGAACGGTGTTGCGTACGTCAAAGTAGCTGCGAGAATTATTCGGGGTTCCTGCTCACGGCTGGTTATTTTAGCCCCGCCGTTGTGGTCTAGTGGCTAAAGCACTCGGCTGCTGACCCGCAGGTCGCGGGTTCAAATCCCGGCTGCGGCGGCTGCATTTTCGATGGAGGCGGAAATGTTGTAGGCCCGTGTGCTCAGATTTGGGTGCACGTTAAAGAACCCCAGGTGGTCGAAATTTCCGGAGCCCTCCACTACGGCGTCTCTCATAATCATATAGTGGTTTTAAGACGTTAAACCCCACATATCAATCAATCAATTATTCGAGGCGATGCATGTACATCTTTTAACTGAATAAGGACGCGCATTCAGACAAGGACACCAGAACAGGAAATTGGACAGAGCAAGAGCGCCTAATTCCTGTCCAATTTCCTGTTCTAGTGTCCTTGTCTGAGTGCGCGCCCTTATTCAGTTAAAAGATGAACCAATACCAACTATCCCAATTATCCGCGCCACTGCGATGTATCCAGTTTTTGCAATCTGTGGCTTGAATATAATTATGAGGGTTGATACAAATATTAAAACATATAAGCGTAATCTGTGCATGGTATTTATTTATTTATTTATAGCGATGATGCTTTCTGTTTCCTTTTGTTATCATCATTCCTTCATTATATAATTATTACTTCGCATTGAGCGAGATGCCAGAATAAGCTTCTTCTATTTCGTTTGCGTCGGTGTTCTCGCCGTTCTCTCGATGTGCTGGTGCCAGGCCTGACAAGGCATGACGTGTTTTTGGTGCATCGTCTTTTACAGCAGTTCCAGCGGTAAGGATACAGGATCCATGCCAGCCCCTCCAAACGTGCGCGCATAGAAGGATCAATCCCACATAAACAGGCAGTATACAATACAGAGAACGCCAAAACGACACAACACCACTTGCGTGCAACACCTTGCGTGCGCATGACGTGTTGATGCGCCGCGCCGTGTGATCTTCCAGCTCCGAGTCGCTCCGACACCGAAGAGGGCAGGGGAGGAATTTGGCTGGCGAAGCCAACACAGGCGCGAGTTTGGCAAAGGTTTCAGGCTCAGCTTCTCGCATCGTGCTTTCGCGACTCGTGATGAACCAATTAAAAGACTCTTGCGCTACGAAGCTTTCCATTGGGCACGCAACAACTGCCAGAGTCTAACTAAAATCTCTCATGTGACCTGGTGAAGATGCCTTTCACAAGCAAATGACAAACAAAACAAAAACCATGTGAAGATTGATATATTTTTTTTTTGCCTACTCTTCACTTTCTCCTGATGACACTCCACGGTTTCGCATTCGTTCTTCATTGTCCTGCGGCTGCACAAAAGCACCTCCTGTTCCCTACAGGCGAGAGCAGACGTGGAGGAGATCCCAAACAGGAGACGCTATGCTGATTAATACACGTGTTGAGGTTATTAGGCCTTGTAGCCTTAACAGTGCTAAAAGGAACTTCTGAGATGTAGTATAGGTTGCACCCCATAGAGTTAAACTCAATTTCACCCGGTAACTTGAATACCGGCCTCCAACTGTACTCGAAAGCAATTTTTTAGGTAAAATAGAGTTCATATAGACAACGATTCCGGATATAGGCGTTTATAGACACCTATAAAAATTTAGGCGCAAATGTAAAAAAAAAAAAATCGGTATTCATAGACAATATAAAAGCACTATAAAAGCCGCCCTTAACTTATGAGTTATGCTCATGTACCAAAAAGCAACGACTGGAATGCAAGAAAAAAGAATAGGCATGTGCCTGTAATTCGGTCTCTAATTATGCTCTTAGCAACGCTGATGAACAGTACCATGTGCTTTTACATACCACCCTCACACACATATAGACGAGCGCGCGGGGGAGGGGTGGGGGAGGAAAGACGGCCGCCTTCCTAGCTACCTTTAAGGGGGTGCTCAAAGTCAGCCCTGTACGGTATTGACATAATATAGGGAGGGGTGCGCTGCGGTGAGTGCAACCCTGCGCACGCCTATATATGCTCCTGCACAATCAGCAAGACTGTCACACCCTGTATATAAGAGACATCGTGGTGCCAAAAACTCCGATAGCATGTACTTGAGACGCTGTTGTTTTTCCGAATATACGCGACGTTACAGAGAGAGGGGGATAGCGCATGGCGCTATGATTATCAGCCAATACACAGAGAGACCCGTGATTCGAAGCTGCGACAGCGAGCGGTTAACATGGCTTGGCGGCGACCTTCGGTCGTGTATACGGTGGCAGATATACAGCAATCAGAGCCACCGAGATGGCTTCCGCGCGTGCGTCCATTCCGTTGCACGGTTGTAACGCAAAGCACGCGACGGCGTCCGTCACGCACCGGAGAACAATGGCGAGCCGGCGTTTTATATCAGCGCAATGGCGGGGCGGTGCGCGGTTGTGAGGCGATAGCAGAAGGGCCGTCGGTAGTTCGGTCACTCTCCCCGCATTGCCATCGCGCGTTTGTTTTTTTGTATGTGTGTTTGTTTTCTCCCCTCGTTTGTAGGCCTAAAGACTTAAAATGCAAGCAGAGCAATAAAAAGACAAAACAAGAGAGACACAGTGACGCGACGAGCTCTCTTGTCTCTCTTGTCCTACCTTTATTGCGCTCTGTTTTTTTTGTTTTTTTTTAAAGACCACCAACCGATTCTCCCAGCTTGGCATTCTATCAGGACTGAAAAGCAAGAGAGAGATAAGAGTACCACGATGAAACGCTGCACCCAATGATTTTGACACTAACTAGCTTCATAAAACTCGTCCACAAAGAGTAGCAAACAGCATATAAACAAACAGCTTCGTTTGCGTTTATCAACGATTCCATCTTGTTCCTTCGAAAAACAGGCACGATTTCGTCATTTACCAGGCCATGCGGGGAGCCGGATGGGTTTATTCTGCCCACAGGTTCGCAGTACACGGCTCAGAGGCACGGTGGCAGCTGTGTGCGAACACAAGTCTCAGCTCCAACCATGGAGCACACTCGACGTGCACACATCTGGGGTAGTTAGCGAGAGGGCAACGCGCTCGTGCCATATAGCGCGTTTTCTCTTATTTTATATACCGCAACGCGTTCAACGCTATGGGAATTCCGTACAGGTGGGTTTATCGCGCAGCGGGAACTGCGCCGCTGAATAGGCGTCTGTGAGATTCTGCACGCGTAAGTAGGAACGAAAGTAAGCGTCGGCGTGTGCAGTCACGTGGAACCTATCCGCTGAAATCGAGCGCCGCACGATACGGTGGAGATTTACAGGCGTGCCTATTGCGTATAATGCGGCAATGCCGTCCAATTCAGGTCGGATAAGGGAAGCGCATTACTGCATCGAAGGGCGTGTTTTTCGTTCGTTTTTTATTCATCATCATCATCATCAACAGCATGACTACGTCCACTGCAGGACAAAGGCCTCTTCCATGTTCCGCCAGTTAACCTGGTCCTGTGCTTGCTGCTGCCAATTTATATTACCTTACCGTTTTCATTACCTTATCGAAATGAAGCTCACAGGGACCCACATGAAGACGACCCGAAGCCGAAGGCTAGCTTTTTTGTTTGTCAACTCACTCGATTTATTGATCCATCAACCTCCAAAAGCTTTATCTGCACCCATAGAAAGTTTCTAGACTGCATGCTTCCAAGATCTGAGGCAATTAATCCTTTCTGCTCCTCACCTAGTTTTGCACGGCCTCCGCAAAAGGTGCACCTTTGACAAAGAGACATGCCGGGATGATGTCACAATGTTACGCCATATAACTGACATCATGATAACGTTGCAAAGTGACGTCATCATGTGATCCTAACCCCCCCCCCCCCCCCATTTTTTTTTGCATCGCTCGCGCTGACGCCACCGACATCGCGGTCAATTTTCACGTTTGATGAGTCATGTGGGCCTTTCGTCTATAGGTTTAAAAGTGAACATTCGACAGACTTCTGTCTGGTTGGGAAGCAGATAGCATTTCAAAAGGGACACCAATTTATTTTAAAATAAATGCTGACGTTTTCGGTCTAACTAGGGCCCTTTTTCAGGGTTGACTGTCACCTCAGGAACGGGACTGTCAGTCACCTCTGAGGTGACAGCAAACCTTGAAAAAGGGTCCGTTATTCATGAGATGACAGTCAACACTGAAGAAAGATTCGTCACTCCTGAGGTAAGAGTCAACCTTGCAAAGAATTCCATCACCCGTTGCAGTCAACACTGAAGAAAAGTTCGTTACCCCTGAGGTGACAGTCAACTCTGAAGAAAGTTCTATTACCCCTGACGTGACAGTCAACCATGAAGAAGACTCCGTCACCCCTGAGGGTTCGAATTGGACTCGAAACGGCTTGAGTTTTCATTTTAAAGTAAAGAAAGTTATCGCTTCAATTCAATTGAATATGTTGGCTGGTGTTTTAAATCGCGGTGTTTTACACGCCAAAACCACGGCATGATAACGAGGCACGCTGTTGTGCAGTGCTCCGCGAACTTCGACGATCTGGTGCTTTTACACGTGCACCCTGACATCATACAGTACGCGTGCTTCCGCAGTGGAACGCAATCACCGCGGCGGAGGTCGAACGCATGAATTTCAGGGTCAGCAGCCGAGCACTGAAACCATGTACCAGCGAGGCGGACTTATTTACCGGCAACGTTAAGGCGTCAAATTTCAGTTTCAACTGCGTGGTAACACGGCATTATTCGGTTTGAATCTTATTTTTCTTTTTTGCTGAAAGCAGAGAGAGAAGCTTTTGGTTCGCTGTACTTGTACTGAGGAAACAAAAAAAAATGGAGAATGAACGACAGAAAGAATACACACATCTGCAGTGACACTTCTTGTAGTATATAACACAAAGCCGAGCACTGTACACCGCAAGCACGTCTTTTGTCCTTTTTATTTCGCAGCCAGAAAGTGTACAAGAAAAAAGAAAACAACAACAACCATGCATTCTCAACAGCACCGACATCGAGAATATGAACATCACGAAGCACACGATTCACTTTTGCAACGGGGCAAGAGCAGAGCGTGATTTGTTCGCCAACAACGGTGGTCCGCTTAATTGCGATATAAACACTTCCTATTCGTAAATCACTCGGTTAATTAGGCATGACGACGACATGGGAGCACGGGAAATGGTCGAAGGCACAAAGGAAAGACGAGAGAAACGTGCAACAAGATATCATCGTGGAACTTTTAACCGCATAAGCAACGTTCTGCAGGAGACATATTCTTTTCATTGGTCCTTTTTATATATTCAATGTCGAGTCAAATAGTGAATGTCTAATGCACAGGCTTTGGGAAACATCAAGGTACGGAAGACCCCGGGTCTAGAAGTCCAAGAGCACAAGCGCTAACAAGAAGAGTCTCAATGGGAATGTAACCAACACGTCGGGGAATCCAACCCGAGACCTCATACAGAGCGCCATAGACGCCAAACCTGCGATGCGATAACTTACCTCTTTTTTTTTTTTCACGCATGTTTCTTCTGTTTCACACGCGTGAATCAGAATAAACCCAACGTGAACTAGCCTTCATGTTCCTACTTAGCTCTGCATTTAAATGACTGCGACGTTCCTTCAGTCGTCGCTTGAAAGGAAGCTAAATAGACAAAAAGCTTTATTGAGCTTTTGAAGGAATCCACCCCCGTTTTACAGGGGAAGGAAAATAAAGTTTTCGGCAAGGATGTTGGCGAAGGTTAAAATGAACATCGAGATATCGATACATCTATAGAAAAAAAATTTTTTTTTGCTTAATAAGGTCGACACCCTTGCAACAAGCGACGGGCTTTGTATAGAACTCGAACAAGTGAGGCGTATTGAAATATATTATAAATTTCTTGCGTCGATTTTCCTCCGTTGATGGTAATTGCATCAAACTATGAGGTACGTATTGCAATGTACGCTTGCGCAAGTTTCGGTTTCATAAAGCCGACAGGCACCTGTCATTCGGGATAATGATTTGCGAATTATTATTGAATAAGGGCGACCATGCAGCCATGTGATGAATACAGTCCTTTCTCCCGTACAGGAAGCCTCAATAATTCCGCCACGGGTGCCCATAAGTATTACTGGTTAATTAAACGTGCAATATTGTAATAGTTAAATCAAATATCACGCAGCGTTTACACAACGGACACAGGAAAGTCAATAGGACGTAGTCTATAGGGCGAGCATGACGTAGCGAGAACAGTTGCTTCAGTTGAGTAGAGCAGTACATTGATAAAACAGGAAAATGAGCATGGGGTTTGAAGGGGGGGGGGATTTGTGTGATGCGCCTTTGCTTCATTTACTTATTATAAGAGGGCTAATTATGTTACCTTCCTTGCTGTCTTTACGGTACGGACATCACTTTAAGTATGAATCAACTAATCAAAGAACAACTCCGCTAACCACAATAAGTAATTGTGTTGCACAAAAACGTGATAACTGTTCACGGGCGTGCACTCTCAAAAGAGCTTCACATCGAAGGGAAAACAATGTAAAGAAAATGTCATATGTGTCAGAAGTGCAGCAAACAGACAGCAGTCAAATGGGGAAGGGGAGACGATCGAATGAAATGTGACAAATAGACAAAACAAAGTTGGCTTACTAGCTTGAACGTGTGCACATTCACACACGCCCCATCGCGTACATACACATATCGTGTCATTGGCACACACGCACACACGCACATGGTTAAAATTAAAATGCTCGCAACATCGTCCCGTCACGAACAGATCCAGGCAAATGACAGCGTTATAGTGATATGTACAAAAGGCAAGAAGTATATCTACACAAGACGTTGGGTTGCTTTAATGGCGATCACTTCATGGGAAGGGGCGTTAAGAGGTCTATAACAAAAAGTGCCTTCAAAAGTTTTTCTTTATTTTCGACTACTATAAGAGGAAATAAAGACGCAGCTTCCGTTTTCTTTCTTTTTTTTTTTTTGTCACGGAATGCTCAGTATATTTTCGAGCTGTAACATTTGGGGGGTAGTATATAGGCTATGCGTAAACGTAAACTTGCTATTTAACTCTTTGGCTCCTGCAGCTGGAATACAACAACGCAGAACTTTTCAGTTAATTAACTACAGACATGAGAAGGCGCGATGAAAAAAAAACAATGAAACCACGCACGACGTCTGTGCGCATCGGGCAGCTTCCAAAACGGTCCTGGCGCAAATATTTTGGCGTTTGTTTATCGCTTGTCAAGCCTCCTCACGAGACTAAAATGTATGTATTTGAAATAAATTAATTAATTAGCATAATTACTGTAGCACATCTAAGGAGCAATACCTATTTTCACACTATTGTGCCGTGCTGTCCTGGCATTACGAAGGCAGAAATATCGATGACATTGCTCAAGGTTACCTGCAATAATTTTCTGGAGAAGTGTTGCCCGACGCGTGGCGAAACATGCAATGCCTCCAGTCGCCACGACATGTCCTTCCTCGATAAAGAGCTCTGGGAAGATTTTGAATATAGCCAACTTCTGGTAGTTTACTTAGGACAATTTGCTGAAAAAATACAATTTCTGAAACAAAAAGGTACGCGTTCAGGTCGTCTTAACTTGTAAAATGCAATAATCAATACGCAGGTACTTGAGAAAATGGGCATGGATGATATCGCGTTGTAGCGGGTGCGCGTTGTTTGCGCCGATGTTGGACCGTATAACTTGGGGGACGATATTGGTCACGGCTACGAAAGAAAAGCGAAAGGGCTATAAATAAGCTGTTGGCTTTTGAAGTTTCGGAATACGCGGCACCGCCTGGGGACGCTATTTCTAAAACACCCCGTTGTCCTCTTGGCAAGCGTCTATTGTAGAGTAATGGACGCGTAAGGCTGACAGCGATTGCGAAACTGCATGTTGAGATATATCTGTACATCTTCGAAAGCGGCAGTGGTTAACCCACAAATTGCACTTGGTGGTTGCTTGCTTAAAAGCCACGTAATAATGCAGCGGATATCAAAAATAGCTTTATTTAATTCTCTTTCTCGTTTCGGCAAGGTATTACATCATAGCTGCGCCACTGGACCTTGGCAAAGTCTATTGCGACGAGCCTCGGTGGCAACTCTGCCTGGACGACTTTATATTCCGTGACGGAATTGTATATTTTTGGCATGAAGTGAGAAACGTCTTCATCAAGTAAATACGATCTTTTTTGTTGTTCTTTGTTTCCTATATTTCGTTCCAAGCGTTTCTCTGTGAATAAAATTTCTATGCCAACGTAATCCGCATAGATGAAAGCAGAGACTTGAAACAACATGCAGTCTTAGTTCAGTGTGTCGTAACGTGGGGGTCAAGCTTTCTGCAGTGAGCGCCACTGCCCCACGGCTGGTAGAAGCCGACCGAAGGTGACGTTTCTAGAGTGGTCGAGGGGGCGACTTAACTCCGTAACGACTTCATACCGACGAATTATTTGCAAGACATCTCTCGACATTTCCAAAATGACAGCATGGAAAGTGGAAGGGCATACGTGTTGCTTCCATTCATATCATCTGCAACAATGACTCGAATAAGCTCACCGTATACGTACTCCGAAACTGGTACACTTTGCGGAAGTTACGACATGCCTAACACTTGTCGATTGCACGTGCACAGTTCGCTTTTGATGGCTACGCTTCTTGACAGTGAGGCGCTGCACGCGAAAGAGCTGCCACACAGATAAGCAGCACCGTGCGCATCACAGTTTCTTTTCTTTTTCCTTCTTCTTCTTCTCCGATGTGACAGCACAAGCCGAGCTCCCGTGCAGCCGCAAATCTTCGGGTTCAACGAAGATCAACACGCGCGACAAGTAGCAATGGCGTCGCTAAAAGCACACACGTCATGCACGCGGTCCTCTAGCCTACCAAACGGTCATCGGTCAGTCGGCGTCCCCACCGTCCTCTAGATCACAGCGCAATGTCCCTAATGCTGTGACTGGAGCTGGTGTCCGACTCGTTGCCGCGCACCACGGAGCCCGGCCTGTTGAGGTACTGGAAGGGCCTCTCGGGGAGTCGCTCCAGCGTGACGTCCCCGAAGCCCCGCACGTCCAGCACCTCCCAGCGATTGTTGCGACCACCCTGGCGCCGGAACTTGGGGCGGTCCAGGCTCTGCGTCGCGTACTCCACGGGGCCCGAACTATGGAGCGGCGCACGCGAAACGGCGACGGCACCGGCGGAACCATTCGACGTCCACGGTTCTCCGCGGTTCAACTCCGACGTGGAGCGCGACATGCTGCGGTAACCGTTGAGAAGTCCTCCGCCTCCACCGCCGCGAGCAACGAGGTCGGCGAACGAGGAGGCGTCGAACTCGGACCTGGGACTCGGGCCGGCCCACAGGGCCGGGTTGGGCGCGTAGAAGTCGACGCCCGACGGTCCCAGCACGCAGCCGTTGAGGCTCCCGTTGAAGGCGGCGTTGTAGACGCCCTGCTGGTGGTGTCCCCCGCCGCCCACGGCGCGCACCATGAGCCCGGACACGGACGAGGTGCTCCGCTTCAGGGCCGAGTTGTGGGCCACGATGTACGTGGGCTCGCTGTCGGCGGCCGTCACGTACCGAGACCTCGAGGACAGGGAGCCTCCGCCGGCGTTGCCAGTTGGCGCGATGGACGCCCGGGCTGGCACTGCCGCTGGCCACGCCGTTGCTCGCGGAGCCGCTGGGGCCCGCCGAGCCGTTGCTCTTGCTGGGCGCCAGGTCCCGGTATGAGGTGACCTGCGGTGGGCGTCGGGGGATGGTGAAGTATACGAAAGACACTTTTCAAGGCCATGCTTCGTCTCGACTGAGCGTTCACAACTCATTTTTTCTATTTATTTATTTATTTGCTTGTTTATACAGTCGTGCAACTAGTGTGCGGCGGTAAAATAAAGATTTCCGCGACGAGTAAGTAAATTTGAACCACTATCGCTGCACACAAAACAAAGCGATTACTTGCTCGTAAAGAGGTTGCATATACATGAAGTAGACCTATAAAGTAAGCTGCGTTTCTCTGGCATATATACAACAGCTTATAACGCATGCATATGCGAAATGAATGTATACGTATCGCGCAGCACTTGCGATTGCGTCTCACTACAAAACACAATAGAACGCTTATAACATGTGCAGGCACGCGGGAAAGGGAAATGTGTAAGGAGGTGTTCCGACCACGTTCAGGTTCTGCAGGCGGCGCATGACGGCTTTCTCCTGCTTCCACTGGGTGTACAGCGACTGGATGCACACGATGCACACCACCTGCGGGCGATAGTGCAAATTAGAAAAAAAAACAAGTAAGAACAATTGGGAAGGCAAAGAAACACGCCAATTTGAAGCGGAACTTTCACGAATACAAAGAAAAATATATGAACTTCAAGTGCTTAACTTTATTTGAAGTTTCAACCTCATTCTTCAATCCAGTTCTGACAACAAGCTTCTGTAAATGCAATCGCGCAAATGCTACCACGCAGTACATAACCGTAGTACACTACCACGTAGCGAGATCGAAACGCAGACTCATCGCGCAAGCTGTTCTGCTTGTATAGAATACACGGGTATATTTGCTGTACACACGGGTGACAGCTGTATACAAGCCCACAAAGCTGCCGCCCTGCGGGTACTGGATTGCGGACCATTGCTACATCCGGGTTCCGGCGCGGACGCTAACAGCGATACCGTCAGCGTAGCAGCCACTCAGTTCGTGCTACAAGACTTAATACTGTTCAGTAGGAGTCGGTATGCACATGCACGGGGTCGTGTGCCCGCTTAGCCTGACTCCTTGCCTTGGCCTATCATTTGTGACGTTCATGTGAAGCAGCGTGTCCAGTATACGCGACAAACCAATGACGTTCATCTTATACCTGAAGCTGCGTCGCTGGAATGCACCCCGGGACGGAAGTACATTAGTATTACTATTGTTATTGAGTGTAAAAAAAACCTTATCTAATATTGTCACGTGCTTGCTCAAGAAAGACGATGGCAGTTGTGCATGTGCCACGAAGGACTACGAAATGGACGAAGAAGAAGAGCTCGCTTGCGCGTTCTAATTAAAAAGATCGACCTGCTTCTGGTGGCTCAATATCTACGGCAAGACCTCTGTTTTGACGTCGTGACAATATGCTCGAGCTGGTACAAAACAGTGCCGCCCGCTTTGTCATTTGCAACTATGACTTCACCTTTAGTGTGGCTGCACTAAAAGGCGGGTTGGGGTGGGAATATCAAGTACACGTAGAAAAAAAGAAACATTACATTAAAATTACTTTCAAAATTTTCACGGCTTGGTTAAAGTAGATAAAGATTTTTACCTTTACCTCCCATTTCTTATCTCACAGAAGTCACTCTCTAAAATAAGAGAAGGTTCTTGGACAACGAACGTTTACCAACACTCGGTTTTTTTCGCCACACAATCTCCCAGTGGAAGCAGTTTCCACAGGAGATTGTTGACTGTCGCACAAGAACATTGTTCAGAGACATACTGTTACACTTATAGCTACACCTTCTTTTAATGTTTTTTTTGTTAATCTTGTTTTCATAGTTATTTTTTATGCGAAAATGTTCCCCTGTGTATTCCACGTGCCATATTGCCCTTAGGCACTGCAGGTATTTTGAATAAATAAATAAATAAACCTCAACAGTAACTATCAGGAAGTGCGACCGTATATACCTCCTTGAAGGAAACCTAGATATATGCTTGAACGCAGAGGGAGGCAAAAATACATACTCTGTTTACCTATATGACCACTGTTTACTCGAAACCTGCATTGTTTATTTTCAGCTTCACAAAAGGCTGACGCAGTCACTCAGGAGACTCGTGTCTATAGCATATCTATGCTTCACAACCATGTATAAACTAGACCGCCTCTTTAAAACCAAAAGGCGTCTGCAAATGCGTAACGACTGCAGATGCGCTATTTAGAGCTGTATCATCGAACGAAATATCGTCGAAAAAAAAAAAAAAGGCGCGACACAAGCCGTACCGAGAACGAGGCAGCAAACGCAGACGATCGGTCGTAGGCATGCGAGACGCCTCTTGCGACTGGCGTTTCCTCGTCCGGGAAGACGCGAATTTCACGCTTTGTCGGACCAATGAGGCCACGACGCAGCGGAGTGTGAAACAGCCGGCCAGGTATGGCAGGCAATACCGGCCAGGTGCTCTCCGTGAAAACCCGTTGGCGCTTCTGCGCTGCGACGTCGAAAATTAGGCGCTCAGCGTCGCGTCGCGCGCTCCTTCGAGACGCCGGTTCGCACGCGCGGCAAGGCGTTATTTTAGAAGCCACTTTGAAAGCGGAGGACCACTCTTCCGCAGGAACGACCGTTCTACACTGTTCAGGCCGTATACTGCCGGCCCTGGCTGCATAATTGCGTGCAGTACGCGTGGGTTCTGGAGAGAAACGAACGAGAGTGCTAAGCTAACCCAGGACACGTCCTGGTGATTGACGTGGTTTCAAAACGCAGTGTGTGTGGAGCTTGTCGCACGCACAGCGCTACATTGCCTATCATGCTATGTGAGCTGATATTCAGATCTGCGGTTTTGTGAGGAGTAAGACCACGTATAAGATGTCGAAGAATGGCTTTCTGTGTGATCAGTTTTTGTTTCTTTTGAAAGAAGAAACAGCCGCTAAGACTAGACACAGGTCTACTGACCATGCTGTGTGCTCGTTGTCTTGTGCCCATTCTTCACACTGTTTCTTCCTTCAAGAGAACGTCTACCAGCCAGCCCTTCAGCAAACCCGTCCACAGTTCGCGTTTTCCTCTGTCAATGACGCTTTACTACGAATTGTTGAACGGAAGTGGCGCGCTAGATACTGTAGCGCGGAAAACTGCACGGATTCCCTGAGTTGTGTGGTTGACTGATAGGTCCAACTGAACGGGCATTTCTCGCGAACAGCGCAGTCAACCCACGCCGACGCAACAAAAGTAGAATTGACGTACGAGTTTTTTTTTCTTTACTTACGTTCATCACTGCACGAGCGATGTAGAAGGCCAGCTCCGCGATCCCTTTGCTGTCCAGTTTCTGCGTGAGAGTCACACAAGAGTGAAAACGTCGAGATTAGGGGGCACTGAACGGCAAACACACGAACGGTTGTGTGTTTGCACCAACACCAGCTTCGTCATAGAGAAATGTATATAAACAACGGTGTCAGAAAAAAAAAAGAGACAGAAAAGTAAACTGCGGCACCACTTTTTCGACACGAGGGCGGAGAGAAAGCCGGAATTGCACAAGCAAAGCGAAGTTCATACAGTCAGCTTCCACCATTATTTTTACAGGTCTGCGAGCTGCGACGAGAGAGGCGATTGCGGGAGGAAGTGTGCAGTTCGCGGCGTATCATTAGGCAGCGGTGATCACAGTTGTTTCGATCGGACAAACAACTCAAGCAAACCTTCCCGTCTCTTCCGTTGGCACGCAGCTGCCAGTGGAAGTGACAGCTCACTGATTGAAACTAAAGCGGCACAGGAACTGGAGCGTATACTGAGGTGTGATGTGTACACTTACCCAGTACTGTAGACTCATGAAGAGAGCCAGTCCACACTCGGGGAAGAAGAAGAGCACGGACACGAAGAGCCAACCCAGCAGGTAATTCGATTTCCTCTGCGAAGCACGGAAACGAAGAGGGTCAGGGTACACGCACAGGTGGCGCGACAGCGTCTGAAGACCAACATCGTGCGGACGTATACATACGTCGCATGCAGTGAAAGCCGATATGACGGTACCATGCTTTTCCACGCCATAAGCTTTCAGACTGGCCCGCATTCTGCTGTGATTTGTCCCATTAACCTTGAGCATGAACTTCAAAATAACTTCCAAATGAACACGCTATAACGACAAATTGAAGTAAAAGCGTGCCGTTGTTCATTACTCTGGGGCCATTTAAGCAGGGAGTAAAGAAAGTCACAATGTCTCCCCTTCCCCCCTCAGCTCTTCCCTCAAGAAGAACAAAAAAGCACAGTGGACGCTTATCCCGCACAGATATGTACTAAAAAATGAGTGCAAATGAATGCAGCACCATGTAAAGCATCTGCATTATATCAAACTTTGACGTCTCCTCTAAGACGTGCCTCTTTTAACAGTTGTAGCCTAACTTTTCCTATAGTCACGTTCAACTGTAGTGCGCAAGGGCCCCATTATTACATGTACGCCAATGAGCATTTTTTTTTGCACGTATTCATAATCATCGTTCATTTAAGAGCCATAATGCGAGTTCCACGATTCCAAGGGCGGGAGTCGATCTGACGACCTCCGATTCAGCAGTCGAGCAGTATGTAGACCACCATGACGAGTGGGAGGCGTATCACAAAAAATGATTGTGTTAGCGACACGTCCATCCCTCTAATAAGAGGGAGATAAATCTTCTTGATGCAGCACGTATGCAGCCTAGGAACTGGTATAGTCAATATACTCGCTCTGTTCATCTGCGCATCAGTAAGCTGCATATCCCCTAACGGCCTTTTACAATAAGCCAATTCCAAGCAGCGCCTGTCGTGTCAACTTTCATTGGAGACTCGGCGACTGCATATTCTCAGAAAGCCAGCAACATTTTCTTTATAACACGTTTCCTCGAGCTGTTGGTGAAATATACATCCTTGTACTAACTCTTCCGATTCGCTATCGGTTCTCCACAAGACATATCTACCGTAGCGCGCTCGGCCGAATGATCCCCGCCGGCAGCGATCATTTCGCGATGAGCACGCCCGGAAAGGGGCAATTGGCCCGCCTAAAACCGTCGGACGTTCAAAGCTCTATCCCACGGTTCTTCATCGCTGGACGCGCAACGTTGTAGAACCGCGAAGGCGCCTGTTCAACAGACACGAGCACGACGACGATATGCGTGACCGTGAGAAAGGCGCCGACAGCTTTTACTGAACCCTGCCGCAGTTTGCATACCAACACGTACACGCACGCACAAAATACACTCACAAATGCGCACAAACAAGCTCACACGAGCACGCAACACGTGCTCTCCTCCCCCGCTTCGCACACGGGAGGTCTCCCTGCCGCGGAAGAAAAACATCGGCGCGCCTTCGCAGGCTTGCGCAGGGAGAGGCAGTCAGTCATCATATGCCTGCTGAGGCGTCAAGCGCAGCGCCTGTGCGCCTTTCTTTTTTTACTTTTAGCGCCGCGTTCCGCAGACAGAACGCGGAACTTTTATTTTCTGTTCATTGTATTGCTTCGCCTCGTTGTATTTCTTCATTACCGTGGGACGGCGAAACTGGCTTTGAATGTTCGGGAAACACACGCCGATATAGGATTACGCTCGCGTTAGCAAACTCGCCGTCTAGCTAAAACATTCATTTGTACATATTTGCTTTTTCAATCGAGGAATGCGTTCCGTGAAAGCGCGTACGTTCGCGAATGCCTGAACGATGGCGCACCGTTTGCATGCGAGCACGTGGTCTCGCTTTTTTCCTCTTCTCATTTTTTATGCAAGATTTTTTTTTCATTTATTCGATTCCTGTTGCCGTAGTTTTCCTTTCGTTCGGCTTTTCCTCTGCGTCGCCGCAAAGATACGCCGTCTACCGTCGCCGCCCACGTTTGCGGGCGTATCGTCAAGCCAGTTCCGGCAGGTCGTATACTCACCTTACAGCAATGTTCTCGTAAACAGGATAAGCCTTTCGTGTGCGACGTCGCAACTATTCAGGCAACGTGGTAAAAGATGGATACATTTTTGCTTTGTGACTTGGTCAACAGTCATGGTTTCTAAAGACAGTTTTTTTTTTATTTTTCTTACTCTCAAAGTAGCAACTGCGCTCGAATGTTTTCGAGCCAATCGCAAAAGTTTATTTATTTATTTATTCACAATACTGTAAGCCTTGTCGGGCTGTTACAGAGTGGGAACTACATCATATATTGTATACAATGACAATTCTAATTTACCAACAAAAGATTCAACTGTGTCTACATTCTCAAAGAAATCGGCAGCAAGACAGTTCCAGTCGACAATCGTTCTGACAAGAAAAGTGTTTTTAAATGTGTCAATTCTCGGTGTGTAGGGCATAATTACGTGTGGGTGATTGGTTCTTGATGAGACTCTTCCTGGGGGACGCATATAGAGAGAAGGGTTTAAATTGAGCTTATTGTTGTAAAGCTGATATAAAAACTTTAGTCGAGTGATTTTTCGGCGAATGGCAAGTTGAGGAAGTTTAACCTCAGTGAGAAGGGTTGTTATTGACTGCCTCCTCTCATAAACGGAAAAAATAAATCGCGCTGCTAGCCTCTGAACACGCTCCAGTTTATCTATTTGATATTGGTGATGCGGGTCCCAGATCATATTAGCGTATTCTAAGGTAGGCCGAACAATAGTTTTGTACGCCTGAAGTTTAACCTCAGGAGGAGCACCTCTTAATTTACGTCTCAGTAGTCCAAGTTTCCGCTGCGCTGATCCGCAGATATTGTCAATATGTGCATTCCAATTTAGTGTATCTGTAATTGTTATACCAAGATATTTAATTTGGGGTGGATCTTTTCATTTGGTTAGTATTCACTGTATAGTCAAACATTAAAGGCGTTTTCTTGTTTGAGACTGTCATGCAGGCAGACTTCTTAGGGTTGATTTCCATATCCCATTTTTGCACACCAATTGTGAATAATGTTTAAGGCATCATTTAAACAAGTTTGCTCAGAGACAGTCTTGACGCGTGTAAACAAAAGACAATCGTCGGCAAACAATCGCACTTCAATGTTGGGATGTACACCACTTGCAATGTCATTAATGTACAGCAGAAACAAAATTGGGCCCAAAACCGACCCTTGCGGCACACCAGAAGGAATGGGCAAAAAAGATGAATGTTCGCCGGCTATTTCCACAAAATGTTGACGATTCGTCAGGTAAGCTTGAATCCACCTAATTATTTGTAAATTAACACCGTAACCATGTAATTTATTTAGAAGTTTCGCATGACAGACCCTGTCGAAAGCCTTTGATAAATCTAATGAAATAACATCTATTTGTTCTTTCGAATTCATAGCAGCAGCAAAGTGATGAATGGTTTCAAATAACTGTGTCACAGTTGAAAGGCGTCGGCGAAAACCATGTTGTTTGTTGTAAAAGAGGTTGTTATTTTCAAAGTACGCAACAAGATGTTTACCAATTATATGCTCTAAAAGTTTACACACTGTACATGTAATGGAAATGGGGCGATAGTTTTCAACCATCAGCTTGTCTCCAACTTTGGGCATAGGCACAACCCTTGCTAGCAGCCAATCATTCGGTACAACACCAGTTTCCAATGACGAGGCAAAAATTTTGACTAAAAATAATGCAACCCATTCGCAATAGCGCTTTAAAAACTCGTTCGGTATTTTATCAGGCCCTGAAGACTTCTTGACATCTAATTTTAAAAGCAATTCAATTATACCTTCCTTAGAGATAACAATGTCATCTTCACAATGGCTACCATGTTCTTGACTTATCGAGGCCATGTCCGTCGGGCTAGTATATGTACTGTTAAAGAAATTGTTAAAAGCTTCAGCAACTGAAACTGGATCACTGCAAATGTTTCCATTTAAAAGTACACTGGTTGTAGCCGGCTTTGACCCAACCAAGTATCTCCAGAACTTCTGAGGTGAATTTTTCAAATAATCAGCCAACGTTGTTGAAACAAAATGCTTTTCAGCAGTTTTTAAGTCCTTCCGCACGTCAGTACTAAGCGTAGCGATGGCAACGGGGTTTCTCGGTCTTTTTTGTTTTTTGTTTAGTAAATCAAAAGCACTTGAGACTATTCCACATAGCGTTCTTCGCATGAAGCGATTGCAAGCAAGTACAATTGTCATAAAAAACGAGTATATATCTTTTTATAACGCGTCTGGTAACATGGCGCTTTTGTGCTTTGTTTTGTTTCCTTATGACGAACAGCGCGCCTGAATCATGTGCAGAAAGCCTACGGGCCATTTTGGCAGAGGAAATGTGTAGTTCCGCCGCCAGTCATCATTTGATCGCAATGTGTGTGTATACACACTCACCAGGAAAAGACCCGCCAGCAGGAACAGGGAGACCAGGAAGATGGAGAAGTAGCCGGCGGCCAGCACGTACGCTGGGACGGGCAGCTGAACTGCATAGTCAAAAAATAACACCACATGTGCTGAAACACTTATAATATCCCTATTGAAAAAAAAAGAATGGTGGACATGTTGTAAACTACCACCCACCATTATAGTGGATTAGTGTAGTGGGTAGTGGTAGTGTAGTGGGTAGTGTAGTGGGTAGTGTAGTGGGTAGTGTAGTGGGTAGTGTAGTGGGTAGTGGTGATTAGTGTTGTGGGTAGTGGTAATGCTGGAAAACGTCCACCATGCATGGTGTATGGTGGGATATGGTGGATGCTGCAGTACCGGCAACGCTTGAGCGCGAAATGGCGTTAGAATCACCATGACTAGCTGCCACGCAAATAAAATAAAATTCTATAAAAACGATGTAAAAAAAAACACCCGTAAAAACAAACAGATAAAAACTGGCCCCGAAGGATTGGAACGTGTAACCTGCAAATTCTCATTCGAGGACACTAACCATTGCGCCATGCCAACATGACGGAACTCGCGTGTTAAATAGCTAGTTCACAAACAAACTTACGGTTCAACTTCAGTTTTGTTTGTCGCGTACTTGATATATACGAGATCTGCACCTGCTACTAAAATTTGCACATATATTAAACACAAGCAACTGCTGCCTGTAACGATTGCCACTGCTATAATGACATCAACGCTATGTTTTTGTTAGAATTCACAACCGCAAGAAGAAAAAAAAAACCAAGTGAACTAGGGAACAGGTACCGTTTACCGACGGGGTCTGCCAAGTTTAATATCCGTTTCTCGCGCGTTCCAAAGGGCGACATCTGCTCAGGCTTTATCACGCCCCTATAGGCTCATTCCCTAGATACGCCCACCTAACTGATTGAGTATTGGGATGCTTTTAGCACAACGCGTGCAGTCGTGCCAGCGCACTGCTGTAGCTGTATCGTTAGCAACAACTACATAACGGCTTGGCCAAAACGAATGCAGTGCGCCGGAAACATTATGCTATCCTATTGGTTCAGCAAGCATACGAATTGCCAAGTCTGTGTACTCGCATGAGAGCCAGAGAAGTGCCGGTGAGGTGCACATGTGACCGGCGGCTGTCGGTGAGGGGAGACGTACGTTCTCTGTAAGTGCTGGAATTGCGTCGCATCGATGCTTGTTGTTTCTTGCGCGGACACCGTGCACAACAAAAAAAATGTTTCATATAGGTTAATTGATGCCATGACTGTGCTGTAGTGTCATTCTTACTCGTCGAAATCGTGTATTCTGAAACCCAGAGGCGCGGATAGAGCAATTGTACGGGCTCGGTCGGTAGGCCTAACCTTTGGTGGAAATCGTGGTAGTAGAACATGTAGTGTACAGATCCCCGCTTGGTACACCATATATATTACCCACCATTATAAGCCCACCCATCATCTGCTTACTGCTTTCCAGCATTATCACAATTGTGGGGAGAGCATTCTCAGCTTGATAAACCATGTGGCCCGCGCCATAATAAGCACCACCCATCATCTGCTTAGTGCTTCCCAGCATTATCGCAATAGTGGGAAGAGCTTCACAGCTAGGTACACCATGTGGCCCACCATAATAAGCACCACCCACCATCTCAGTGCTTCCCAGCATTATCGCAATGGTGGGCGGAGCCTCTCATGATTGTCTACTATCTAGCCGCTACTTCCCACCATCGCTTCCCCTTTATCCATCTTCTGTACACCATCTTCTGGACATGCCACCCAGTATGTCCCAGCATATCCTATCATAATTTCCACTACGTTCCGCCATATCCACCATAATTTCCAATATACCGACTATTATTTCCACTACGCCCACCGTGTTTTTCTGTATCCACCATGGTAGTTTTTCCAATAGGGATAGAACAATGGTATGAACTAGTGGTCACTGCTTCGCGTCAGGACGCAAACAAAAAAAAATCACAGCATATCCGCGGAATAAATGATGATGAGTGGAACGAAGCGTTCGTCCATGCTTCCATCCGTGCGCCCGTCCATGCGTCCGTCTGTGCGTCCATTCATCCGTCCGTCCATCCGTGTGTCTGTCTGTCCATCTACTTGTCTGTCTGTCCATCCATGCGTCCATCCGTCCATCTAGAGGACACTTCAAGTACCGCCCTCTCGCTTCTTTTTATCATATGTTCATCATATACAAGTACCGCCATCCAGCGGACAATCCAAGGACTAAACGAGAGTATGTGCCACATTTCCGCTGTCAGCGCTTTGTTAACACTGAGAGCATGATAACGACGCCATGCTGCGTTTTATGTAACGTGTGGACATGCGAATATGTGCCCGAGGGCGGGTATGTGCCACTGGTATGCGGGTATGTGCCACAGGTTGCGCACAACGACAACGAGGGACGCACAAGCCACGCCATAAGGAAGGAGCTTCGCGCCTAAAAATTAATGATGCGAAAATAAATGATAATGATAAAAATTAATGATAAACAGCGAAAGGATACGTCACCACCGATCATACAAGTTCCTAGGTGTTATAATTGACAGAGACCTCTCATGGAGCCCACATGTATCATACATAAAAGGCGATTGACAGGCATCTGTCATTTGTTCAAGTTCTTCGCTGGAAAGAACTGGGGAATGTCCACAACTGCTACGTTACGACTATACAGGATTCTTTTCCTTGGATTCATTCGGTACAGCCTACCTGTGTTAACCAACGCAAGGAAAACAAGCATACGAATGCTTCAAAGTGTCCAGGCTCAAGCACTCCGGATATGTTTAGGCTTGCCCCAAAGTGCGTCAACAGCGGCAACTATCGCCATCACAAGGGACAACCTCATCAAGACCCACATTAATGTGGAAGTGCTGAGGACACATATACGACACCTTGCTCGAACTCCTCGACATCACCTAGCCTCTCTACCAGTGGACCGACCATGCACATCTTACTGCAAAACAGTGACCGCGCATGGCGAGTCGATCCCAACTTCGTTCTCTCCTGCCGCTAGACCTGTGACTCCGCCATGGTGCCTCGATCAACCAATGATTAATATTAACATACCTGGCGTCCAGAAAAAGGCCAATTTGTCGTCACCGGCTCTTAAATAGCTCACACTACTTCTCTTGTATGAGAAATACCAAGACACCCCACATATATACACTGACGGATCGGTGCAGCCGGACAGCTCTACGGGAGCAGTAGTGAAACCAAGGTTGGCCACGACAATTAAATTCAAGACATCTCACACAACAACGTCAACGGCAGCAGAATTGGCAGCACTTCGTGCCGCGTTGCAATTTGTAGTTGATCAACCTACACGCAAGTGGACTATTTTCTGCGACTCGAAGGCGGCACTGCAGTCTCTACTATCAGCCTTACGCCGTGGACCACACGAGCAGCTGGTACTAGAGATAGCAGAGGTTATACACCACCTGACTGAGAAAGGGCACCAAATTACATTTCAGTGGTTACCCAGTCACTGCGGAATCATCGGCAATGAACGGGACGATCAAGCTGCCCGATCAGCCAACACAGAAGATCATAAACTACGACCAGCACTTTCTAGGACAGATGCAGCACGAAAGCTCCGCAGGCTTGCTCGCCAGCAAACCACATCACAATGGAATCAGCCACACTTCAAGCATGCCAGACTGTACTCGCTTGACCCTACGCTAAGTCTTCAAGTCCCGTCGAGGCTTTGCCGAGCAGACCAGACCCTGTTATGTAGGCTGTGGTTGGGCGTTGCGTTTACCAACGCCTACGCTTTCCGCATTGGGATGGCCGACACCGCAGCCTGTGGCCACTGTCTCAAAGAAGAAACGATCCACCATATTCTTTGTGACTGCCTAGAGTATAGTAAACAACGACTATGCCTTCGCAAGGAACTCAGCAAATTAGACAATCAACCTCTGTCGGAGCAAGGAATTCTACAATATCGGCAAGATGCATTTTCACAGAAGAAGGCCCTGAAAGCGGTATTACACTTTTTGCGATCAACCGGCCTTACTGAACAGTTGTAGCTAGGACGCCCTTCATGTGTGCGTTTTCGTTTCACATGAGTGCGCGTGCGTTTTTAGATGCAGAGCATCTAATACTCGAGGCTTGTAGTGCGGCGCCGTCCGCAAGCTTCCTCCTCCTTCTTCCACCATCTGTGCATCCCTTCCTCCTCTACACACCGCGCGCGCTTCACTCATCCACCATCTGTGCACCCTTCCTCCTCTACACACCGCGTGCGCTTCTCCTCTTCACGAACATTCGCTAGCTGTATAATGTAGCGCGCATGCGCCGTCACGCTTCGAGAACATCGGCAGCTGACGCGCGCGCATGCGCCGTCGCGCTTCGAGAACATCGGCAGCTGACGCGCGCGCATGCGCCGTTGCGCTTCTCCCCCTTCTCGAACATTCGACAGCTGACAGTGCATGCGCCGTCGCGCTGTATATATACTCAAGGTCGGTGCTCGCTCGCTCAGTTGCCGCTCGTCGGTTGGTTTGTACGGCGCGTCGACGTCCGAGGTCGCAATGATCGACGTCCCTTCGACCAGCGCCGGCCAAAGTGTTGGCGGAACCGCAACCAAGTCGTCGTCCGAAGACAAGGCAGCGCGGAGAAGAGCTCGCGACGCCGAACGTAAACGTCGGCGTCGAGCGGAAGATGCTCAACTTAGAGAACGTGAAGCCGCTGAGAGACGTCAGCGTCGAGCAGCAGCACCGGATTCGGCCGCTTTGAAACGTAAGCGTCGACAAGAGGACCCGGACTTTCGAAAACGGGATACGTGTCGTACGTGTTCACTCATTTAACACCCCTCATACAACCACGTTAACCAATTTAGCCAGCGACCCAAGTAAGTCGCAATTTAACACCCCATTTCACAACCACGTTAACCAATTTAGCCATCGACCCAAGTAAGTCGCACTTTAACACCCCGTTAACCAATTATATGCTCCGCATCCTCCTCAGTGTTCCCCCGAGGGAAGCTGCGGGCAATTTTTTCCCCCCTTTCTATATACCCCCTCTTTCTTGCCCCTACTTCCCCGTGCCCAGCGCTGGGTAGCAAACCAGATGCCAATATC